CCTCGCGCTCCTCAAAAGCACCCTCTCACGCCCCACCCGCGGGAACGAGGCTTCAGGAATTCAGGGGAGTGGCTGTGGGGGCGCGTCGCGGCTCCCCGCTCGGCCAGCCCCTCTTCCTAGACATGGTCTGATCCCCATTGTAAAAGCTGCGCCCCGAAGAGGAGGAGAGAGTGGTGTTCCCGGCTTGGGGCTGCAGGAATCTCTTCTTGCTGAAGCTCTTGCATTATTTTAGGGTGGGGCGGGGAGGGCCCTGGATTTTGGGGAGTGGGGGTGGGCGGGGAGGAGGACCCGGGGTGGGGGGAAAGGACTCTGTGAGGGAGCCGGTGGAAGACTATGGGGAAGGACCAGGAGCTGCTGGAAGCTGCCCGCACTGGAAATGTGGCTCTGGTGGAGAAACTCCTGTCTGGCAGGAAAGGAGGGATCCTGGGCGGTGGATCCGGACCCCTGCCCCTTTCTAATCTGCTAAGGTAAGGACGGGAACCAGTTCTGGGATTGCATACCTCGTTTTTTTGCATTGTGATAGATACGTCCTCCTCTTCATGGTTAGTGCACCTGGTGGCTGCCAGCGATTCATTCTTAAATTAGGCAGGAAAACAGACTGTGTGTGTGGAGAGGAGGCACGAGGTTCCCAGTCAGATTGATGCCTTAGATTCTTTGAGTAATTTGAAAATAGCCTTCCATCAATGCGTCAGTAGCTACTTTTCTCTGAACTGTGGTGCAGAACTTGTACATGTACTAGTGTTGCTGGAAGAAAATCGGTGTTCCACTCGCTTTCCATCAACATTTATTATGTATTTTCAGTGTCGAACCCAGCCTTTTTTGTCTATTTGCATGAAATTGGTAGATAAGCTATTGCGTGCATTCACTTACCCTGCAAAAAGCCACGGCCTTTAGTTGCTGCTACCTTCTCTTGCAGAAGGCATTTGCTGTGCTGTGGGTTGTGATCCCACAAAATGAAGCAAGCGAACCTTCTGATGAGATGTCATCTGTACAGGGTGTGTGTAAAACTTGATGAGGCAGGTTAGCAGCCCCAGCCGTACTTCCACTTACCTGGACTTAGCTCAGTGCAACTTGGTTTTTAGGACCAAGGATGCCAGGTCAGGATTGGGATAGTGTGTATGGAATGTAGTAGAGGCCTTTTAATATGAAGATGTTGCGGGTGAGACTAATATTGCTTGGAGACTCTTTCTAAGATGACATTTAAAAAAAAATGTCAAGGTCTTTATTCAGCAGGCAGTACCTTAGAAATAGGGTTGATTTGCATATTTGAGAAACTGCGAACTTGAGAGTTGAATTGATGGACGAATTAAATAAGAGGGAAGAAGCCTGAAGAATATTCATTAGATAAAATGCAAGGAAAGCTCTTTAGTTTGTAAAATTGTGGCTATTCACTTTACCCTGGATATTTTTGGAGGCATCAATCATCATTCATAGCTTCACCCTAAAACATCTCTTAAGCAACCCAGCTGTACTTGTAAAAATTTGAAAAACCCAAATGATTTTTTTTTTTTTTTTTTTGGTTTTTAAATACTCTTTTGTGCTACTCTTGACAAGTCTTTAATACAGATTTTTGGATGATGACATTGTGTTCTTTACACAAGTTCTTAGATGTTGTAGTGGCCAGACAATGCAGTTAATTATAGTACTGGCCTGTAGGGAAAATGAAAACATTTGTATTAGAGTGAAATGAATTTAGTTGGCAAATAGTTGATGGGATTTTAAAAAGCTCCATGTATGATCATATATACTTAATAGTGACATTTTATTGGAATAATAATTCACTTCAGATCAATGAATGAATATGGGACATTTTTTTAGTTGATCTTAGGAGCGATGACTCTTTGGGTGTACTCTGTTCGTAAGTAATTTTTACTTTCAAACACAACTAGACAGTGTGGACGTTTCAGATTATAGCTCTAATAACTGCCCCTAGTCATGGGTTATTTATACAAAAGCAGTTTATCTGGTTACGGTTTTAAAGTTGCAGGTAAAGTAAATGTGTTTACCAGTTGATTGAATTAGTTGTAAGAATGATTATGGCTAGAAACCTGTATTCTGAAAGAGGTTTCTAAATAATCAATTCCTTTGGACAAACACTAAGGAATTCTTTGGGAACAGTGATAACTTCAGTTAATTTTATTAAGATAAATAGTATTTTAAAAAGCGTATCTTTGTGATAGAACTTAAAGGCAAACATCTTTTAAATACTTTCTCTGTTGTGCCATTTAAAAAAAAGAAGAGGTGGCAAATTTTAGGAATAAAATACCAACTATTTAATGTTGGTAAACTTCTTGAACAAGAGGTTTTCTCTTTTGCTGGTTTTGTCAGGGGTGAGAGCTCTATAACAAAAATGTGCACAGAAAACAAAAGTAAAAAACGTGCTCATGAGTTTGAACCAAGTTGTAAAAGTCAAAATCAAAACCAATAACCCTTAAACTTGCATCTGTCGCATACTAAATGAACAACCAAAACAATGTCTTTGAAGAATATGATGGTTGAAACTGCATTGGGTGATCCTTTGCATAAAATGAAATTCCTAAGAAAGCACATTTAATTTAGTTGTTACTTTATTTCACAAATGATTGTGTTCAAAAATTTATTTACATAATGATGGAGAAGGTGGCCCCTCCCTCTTCAAATATAATGATGCTTGGACATTTTAAAATACTTCGGAATGACCGCAGAATAGGTTTGCCACTACCTCCCCCCTGCCTTTATTTGTTGTGTAATAGGTAGTGTCAGATAACTGTGCTAAATGCTTACTTGTATCATTTCGTTCAGTTCTTATATCAGCCTTAAGTGGCTGAGCCTCAGTTCACAGGTGAAGAACTAGAGATAGGAAGATAAGGACTTGCCCAAGGTCACTTAATTAGTAATGGCAAAGATTTGAAGTTCTGTGATTTAAATTTGCTTTTCCACATTGTAAGTCTTATTCATTGATTCTATTTGATTTGTGAGTTTAAAATACGTATAGTCTACTTTTTTTTTTTTGCTATGCATAATCTGATTTAAAAATCCTTAATTTTTTTCCTAATGACAAACAAATCCTCATGACTGCCCTTTGGTGGATCACTAAGAACTTTTCTGAAGATGGTTTTGATGACATATTCCCAAGTGAGCAGTAGATATATGATAGGGAATCAGGTATGCTTGGGTGACACTGCAGTTTTCAGCAAAAGAATGACCTTGAATAAATATAAAAATCTTTCTAAGCCTCACTGTTCTCTTCTAGAAAATGGGAATAGTTATAGTAGCTATCATATAGAGTTGTTGTAAGAGTTAAATGAAATATGAAGAAATGAATGCAAAGCATTTAACACATTGATGTTTTATCATTAGTGTTGTTATTTCTCACGCAGCTTTAAAGCACTTGACCTTATTTCTTAAGGTCTTGATTACTAAAGATTTGCTTCATATTGGACATGGAGTAAAGTTCCTTAGTAAATTTTCCACTAGAATTATAGAATCTATAAATAAAATGGAACCTTTTATCCAACCTCTGACCTAGAGGAATCACCTGCAACATCTTTTACCAGTTAGTTATTCTAGCCTTATAAAACTCTTAAATGACTAGATCCATTCCTTTTTTTTTGACAGCTCTAATTATTAAAAACATTCTCCTTTTATTGAGTTGATATCCACCTCGCTGTAATTTCTTATTTTTATTTTTATTTTTATTCTTTAGTGTTTATTTATTTTTGAGAGAGAAATAGAGACAGAGCATGAGCAGGGAAGGAGCAGAGTGAAGGAGCACAGAATCTGAAACAGGCTCCCAGGCTTTGAGCTGTCAGCACAGAACCTGATGAGGGACTCGAACTCACGAACCACCAGCTCATGACCTGAGTGAAGTTTGACGCTTAACTGACTAAGCCACCCAGGCACCCCTGACCTCCCTGTAATTTCTAGCAGTTGGTATTATTTGGAAGTGGAATATAGGTGAACTTACATTTTCATACTTTTCACTATTCTCTTTTTTCCCTTCTTTGCATATTCTCAAGTTCTGCAATGACTCTTAAAGGTGGTGAGCAGAAATGAACAAAATGCACTAAGATATCAGTTGACCATTGTGAATATACTGGGACCTGATATACTGTTGAATTAAAAAAAAAAAACAGGTTTCAAAACAGCATTTGTGGTATGACCCTATTTTTTTTTAAGAAAAAGTAAGTGTGAAAATTTATAATGTACATGAAAAAGTCTAGAATGATAAACACCAAAATGTAAAAAATTGCATTCATCCTTGAGTGGTAGAATTGTGGATGATCTTTATTTTCTTTTTGCTCTCTACATTTTCCAGTATTCTAAAATAAACATGCATTAATAGCAACTACTAAAAACATTGAAATTATTACCTCTTTATTATTGATCTAAGATCTACCTTAATGAGGGTCAGTTTTTCTGAGGTATATAATGACATTGGCTCACATTGAGCAGATACTCAAAACTTCCAGGTATTTTTTTCAATGACTTATGAAGCAGTGGTTCCCCGATCATACTTGTAAAAGTGTGGATTGAATTTAAATCATTCCTATTACATTTAATCTTACTTGTTTTAGCCTGTATTTATAATCTATGTAGATCTTTTTGACTCTTGAGTCTGTCTTCCAGCATATTATCTTCTTCCTCTGCATCATCTATAGATTTAATATGCATGTTTTCCATAATTGGAATTCCACACACCATGATATGTCTCTAAAGAACCTTTCTTTAGCCTACTATAAATTTAAAAGTAGCAATACTTATACATGGTATTTCTACCAACATTGAAGCCACTTAATAGAACTCTCATTCAGCTGCTTCTCTCTGATGTACCTGTGAGAATCTTTTGAGGTATTTTATCCATTGCCCTTCTGAAGTCATGCTGTGTCCTGTTTATGGTGTTCCTTTGATATACCTCTAGTATTAAGTCTATAAATTCCACCCAAATCAGGCTACTTTATTATAGCTTGTTTATGGTAGCGAACCATGGATGATGGATGCCTAGTTCTGATGAAAATTCGTTCTATGCCCTTGTACCTAATTCTTCTGGGTCTGGATATACTTTGTTATGATCTCTGTCTGTTTGAAGTTTCAATAATCCCTAACATTATTTGTTTATACTTTCTGGTTTGAAAATGATTTTCACTAGGGATGATAGGAGCAAAATGGAAGTTGGGAAGAATCAGATTCTTGGCATTGTTAGACGTTACAGGAAATTCTCTTGTGGTCTAAAACAAGCAAGTTTTACAGTTATTCTGTCAGAATTTAAGTTTACATTAACTGTTATAGAAGTGAACTTTTTATAACTCCCTCCATTTTTTCAAACTTAGTTGAAAGGGACATTAACATTTCCCCAGGTAAATACTTCTTTTTTGTGTTTGTTTTCATTTATACTTCTCATTACCCCCTTTTGTCCTAAAGAATTCTGAGCTCATTAGAGCTCATCAGAGTATTCAAATTGAATCACCTCCTTTTTCTTCCTCCATAT